GGGGGGGGGGGGGGGGGGGGGGGGGGGGGTGGGAGGGGGAGGCTTGAAACCATTTTCAACACAAAATCTTGGAAAGAATGCATATTCTACTTTGTGAGGCCAGGAATGGAACTCTTCATATTTTGGTTTTCTTTGGAGAAATGTAGCTAGCCTCAATCTGATAGGTTTAGACAATAGGGAGGGCTGGAGTGAGACTGCCAGGCAGGTGGAAGTGAGAAGGATCTTGGTCATTCCTGTATCCTTCCTCATACCCTACTTGTATCAATGACGCTTCGTCTGGCAATAGCAAATGTCTCCAGCAACAGGTATTTCAATTTTACATTTCCTTTCCACACTTGCAGAATTAGTGTTACTGGTCTTCCTTAATCATACCAGCACCTGCCAGATAGTGCCTCCTTCTGAGAAGTCTTGATCCCCAGCTCTGAAGAATCTCCCACTCTATCCAACTTCTTGTGGTTCTAGCTCAGCTTGTAGTGTTCCCCTCCTCAGAGGTCTGATTCCTAGTTGATAGGCCCAGCCTTTAACCTTCTGGATTCTGACAATGCCAGGCTTTCCCTCAGCCCCATCAGCATGTAAATAGAATGCTTTACTGTGACAACCTGAGGATATCACACGGACTAATAGATTGGCGTGTTTCAAATCAGTGTAAGTGAAAAGGTTCCAATAACTAGTCATGCCAAAAAAATTAAATGGACAAGAGTGAATTTCCTGTCCATTGACTTAATCAAAAAGAAGCTGGACCACTGCTAAATTAAGGTATTTCCAAGTTGATTTAAAGTATCAAACAAGAGACTAGGGTGGATGACATCTATGGGTCCTTTCATTTAATAAAATATAACTATCACTACCGAGTAACTACTAGCTACTATAAACTGAATCCTATTGCTTACATAGTTTATTTCTAGTGTTTATCTTTACCTTATGTTTTTAGATATTATCACTTCCATTTTATAGATATAAAAAAAGTAATTGAGGCTCATGCATGGCAACTAACTGGCCAGGGTCACAAGAGTTTTCTAGTGGCTAAGACAGGATTTGAACTCAAGCAGATTCTACTGATCACTTTCTAATAAATTTCACACATGTGGCTCTGAAATATTTAATTATAGTCATCTCATGACTATACAGCTAATCATTGTTTTATTTCAACTTCAGCCCTTTTGTTTTTTTGTTTTTTTGTACAAAATAAGGGAGGAGGAAAGACAATGAGATATGATGAAGAAAAAGTGATAATATTTAGCAATAGTGACCTATTCATCAAACTGATCCATAGTCCTATGATACTGATCCATAGTCCCATGATACTGATCCATAGTCCCATGATACTGATCCATAGTCCCCAAGATACTAATCCATAGTCCCTACCCTTTGGACATGCTGCTGCTTCTCTCAGGAACACTTTTTCATTAGCTACCTGGTAAACTCTAGATACTCCACTGAGAAAGTTTCTTGGGTCCATCTTGAGAGAGAATTCTCCTGAATATCAAGAGACACTCTTGAATATCTCCACAACATGTATATTATTATTGAAGCTCACAACATACTGTTCTACCTCTTTATGATTGCTAATTTGTCTGAATTTCTCTGAGGACAATAATTTAATTTATTTATTTTTGTGTTTATTTTACCTAGCAGTATATGTAATAGTAAGTTTCAAAACCATATGTTCTTGAGATAATGTGGTATATTAGAAAAAATACAACATTTCACATTAATTCCTGTTTTGTGATGATGAACAAGATTGTTAGGTCTATCTGGATGTCCCCTGTGCCCCCAGTTCCAGTGTCCAGAATTAGTACCGGTAAAGAGTTGAGCCAATCATGGAGTGATCACAGGTAAAAACCAATCACAAATCTATTGCAAAGTGAAAGTACATTTCAGAGGAAGAAACAGGTCATTGTCTGGGAGTGGAGAAAGACTCAAAGTTTGTTTGTCTTTTATATGTTCACTAGCTTGTCCCATTATTCTCCTGGCATGATTGGTTACTGTTTCCAGCCTTTGGAGTGATTGACAGGTTGTGGTTATATAACAGATTACATAACATGTTAGGTTATACTAAGCATAACAGTTTCCTTACTACACATGGGTCTTCTTAGAATCCTTCACGAAAACTCTCCATGCCATGCTAATTAGATGGCAATGAGCCCCATGTCAGGGAAAAGTCTAAGAGCTCCTGACTGTTGTTAGCTTGGATCCCAGCTGTAACTTGGTTCTAGCTCTTCTCCCTTAGCCACTTCCTTGCCACCTGTTTATCCCGCAACAGACTCAACAAGAACACATCATTTTTTTAAGCCTGTTGCTCCCAGAGAGAAGAGCTTCAAAAAGGAAGCAGTCAGTGGTTCCAAACACTACACTTTGACATTATTACTTAATTTTTCTAAGCTTAATTTGTCCTGGAGACTTCTCAGTGTTTTCTAACACTATGCAAGAGCCCATTGACTTCTGCACAACTATCATTAGTGACCATTTTGAGATAAGTATTCATGGCATAGAGAGGGTTGAAGCAGGTTGAAGTGAGCCAAGTATTATGCTGGATGTAAGGACCAGGAGACGGGAAGAACAGACAGTTCTTGCCATGGACAATAGATACAATTGTTGTGTTCATAGGAGGTTCGTTTATTTGTTTGAAGAGGGGGAGATTTGAACATATAGTATTTAAATGCTTAAAGGAAAGAGGCAATATATACAAGTTAACAAGGAAACAATCTGTACAGCAAGATCTTTGAGGGTCTCCTAGTTGGGAAATGGCATGTAAAAATTAATAGAAATATTTGAGACAGAGGAGGGACCGACCCCTATTTTTTTCTTTTTCAACATGATTACAGTAGAAAGGATAATGTGAATTAGACAAGGTTAGAGGCTTGTAGGTGGTAAAGAAACTGATGCAGCTACAGTCAGAGCTGCAAATGGAAAGGGGTGTGGATCATTTTCACGTGTTTAAGAAATAACTGGTAGCACCAACTGATTAAGAGCACCTGCTCTGTGGGGGTCAACTCTGGATTTAAATTCCAGCTCACTCTCTGACTAAGTAATTTAATATGTCAGTGCCTTGTTTCTCAGTAATAATAATCTTGAGCTTAATCACCTTGAGTGGTCCAAGGAATTGATCACTACATATATATACATTCACCTAACAGTGCTGGGCATAAAATAAGCTTGGTGTGTGTTTTCTGGTATTCGTGTGTGAAGCGAGGTTTGTCCTACTTCTCCTGGAGTTGGTGGATTCAGAGAATTTAACAGAGGGGAGACAGATTGAAGGGAAGATTGCAGCCCCCTAAAAAGAGCCAGTGCAGTATCAAAGTGGTAAGCAGCATGGAGGACCCAGTTTGCATCTGAGGTCATTAGCTGTATCTCAGCCTGGTGTAACTAGATGAACAGCGGACAGTTTGGTTGACCCACTATAGAACAACAGTGAGGTGATGGAATTGAGAACTCTGACCACCCATAGACTGAAGCGATAGTCCCTGGAATCAAAGCTGGATACGTGAAGAAATCAAGGGCGCTTTATAAAGAGTAGCGCTGAGCCCTAGAAAAGATGGAAAATTGGTAGTATGTGTTTTTCTGACCAATAGGGATAGGATATGGGGAATTACGGCAATCTGACAGCCGTAATTCTAGGACACTCTGAGGACAGCTAGAGGCCTTGCTCTGCCACTCAAGGCAGCTAAGGGAAAGGGTCGGGTATGGGAGGGGAATAAAGAGTATTGTGATGGATGAAGTGGGGCGGGGCGAGGTTCAAGGGGCACGTGGCATGTGCCCCACAGTTACCTGGTCTGGTTCAGGCAGAAGGCACCCCGGGGGAGCCCTGAAGCCCTCAAGCATGTGCCTATGCTGCGGGGATACCGAGCCTTCCCAAGTCACCCCTGTGAGTCGGCTGGGGCCCTGGACCTCACCTCTTCCTCCCTGCCCCGGGGGTTTGCCCTGGAGGCCACGGGATCTTTAGCCACCCACCTGCCCTTCCAGCGGTGGGGCAAGTAGTTTGGTGCAGGGGAGTGGGAAACCCCAGATGAAGAGGAGCTGCTGGGCTGTTAGACCCACCTGAGATGAGGAGAAGCTCCGTGCAGAGCTTGCTGGGGGGCAGGCAATAGTCCAGGAGCTGTTCCTCGAAATGCCCTGGGGGTGGGGGTGGGATGAGAGTTAGAAGGCAGGAGCTAAATATTCAGATGTGGAAGAGATTGCTTTGGGGTCTTTGGGTTAAGGAAAAAAAAACTGGATTAAAACGAAGGAAGGGAGAACTATATAAGGTACAATCTGAAAAGGGGAAGGGGTGGGAACCTCATAAACTGCAAAAGCTCCGCTGTACTTTAGGAAAACCCAAGCAGGTCTCCTCTGCTTTACAAGCCAGATCTAGCCTGTAGGGTGCTTGATCCTTCCAGGAAGAGCCAGGAGGCACCAATTAAGTCTCTTACCAGCAGAAACAGGATCTGGGGATTTCTTGTACACCTTTTCACTCTATCAGAAATCTCAGTACTCTGCCTGTTCCTGTAAAGTGGTTTAAAGCTTGTTTTTATGCACATGAGGCCGCCTCCACACTCCACTCCAATTTTTACCATAGATGTTCTTATTCTGATCTTACCTCTTGTGGTTGAAATAATGCTTATAAAATACATAAATAGATGTCTATAAAATACATAAATAAAAATATTGGATTTCTATTATAAAACAACTGATTTATCTGCTTTCTCCTGATTTTTACGTGGGTGTGTTTGTAAATTTTGCACATTCTGTAGGAAAGACCAAGAAGGCTGCATCCTGCAGAGATCACTGAACAGCAGGTAATGTTTAATAAAGCATTAAACACTCACAATGTTTAAACATTGTGCTTTTCTATCATGGTTCTAACATGATAAAGCCTTGATCAGCCAGATACTTCTGGGGTATCTTTCCTGGGACTCTAGAACCTTGAGACTATCATTGAAAAGGGTCTCAACTAGGATAAACTAAATGACTTCTATTTTTGTTTTTTAATGTAATATTTGACATAGATACAAATATATATGTAGCATGTATAATTTTTAAACCAAAATAATAAACTATATCTCCAAGTTAAGAATAAAAACTTGGGCTCGGTGCCTGTGGCTCAAGTGGCTAAGGCACCAGCCACATACACCTAAGGTGGCGGGTTCGAATTCAGACTGGGCCCCACCAAACAACACAACAATGATGGCTGCAACCAAAAAATAGCCGTGTATTGTGGTGGGCGCCTGTGGCCCCAGCTACTTGGGAGGCGGAAGCAGGAGACTCTCTTGAGCCCAGGAGTTGGAGGTTGCTGTGAGTTGTGATGCCACAGCACTCTACCCAGGGGGATAGCTTGAGGCTCTGTCTCAAAAAAAAAAAAAAGAAAACCTAATGAGTGTCCCTGAATCCAGCTAGGGAAAGCTTTCCTAATCTACCTACGTTCTCTCTCTCAAATGTAACCACTATCTTGAATGTTAATGTTATCCTTCTCTTCCTTTTCTTTAGTATTAGTCTGTTAAATATATGCCTCTATAAGTGGATTGGTTTTGAAATGTAAGATTTCACACAAAATTCAGGGAATGATTGGCTTTCTTCTCAACATTGTTACCTAAAATTGATCTGTGTTGCTATGGTTATAGTCCCTTTATTTTCACTGCTGCTTAATATTTTGTGGTGGAAAGGATACCATTTTGTTAATCATTTCCCTATGATTAGCATAGCTACCCACGCCTTCTAGTACATGCTGTCTTTCACTATGCACTAGAGGTCCACTTGCTCATTTAGACGGGAGTAGGATGGCTGGATCATTGGGAAAATTAATTTTTCATGGTTATAAAGCAATCTTACATTATTTTCAAAGCAATCGTACCAATTTGTACTCCCATTGGCAGCAGATAAAAAAGTTCTTGTTATGGGTGGCACCTGTGGCTCAGAGGAGTAGGGCACCAGCCCCATGTGCTGAAGGTGGCAGGGTCAAGCCCAGCGCCGGCTAAAAAACAGCAAAAAAAAAAAAAAGAAAGAAAGAAAGAAAAGTTCTTGTTATTCATTTCCTCTCTGTCTAATACTGTATTTCATTACTTTCAAAATATTTAATTTCATCTGCTAGGTCTCTGCTACTTGTAGATGCCTTGAGACGGGGACAAAGTTGTGTGTGACATGCTGCATTTAAGGAGAGCAAAGAAAGCAATTGTTTTCTTATTTCCATAAAGTCTCTAGGTGTTGTTAGTAAATATTACCTTTAAAGTAAAAGTAAGCATGTGTATCCGTGAGTCTGGATCTGTCTAAATATGCATAGTGGTGCAGTAGGAATCAACCGTTCAGAGTCTCATTTGAAAACCCTACTCAGGCTCCAATATGTTTTTGTCCACCTTGAACCACATATTTGAAAGAAAGTTGTTTTTTCCATCATCCCAGGTAGATAGGTAAGTCATAGACATTGATTGCATTTATCACTTCTTTTTTTACTGAGACATATCAAAAATATACTCAAAATGTTAACCTTTGTATTTTATAAAGAGTCTGACTTGTTTTCATTCTTGTAATTTTCCTAAAGCTTGCTAATAAACGTATTCAGCACTTCCAAGAGCTACAGAAAGAGAAAAGGAGATTGAGTAAACAGTTTGCAAACCCCAACCCCATTCAAGATCCAGGACTGCTAGTAAGTACAGAGGTTTCACTGAAAATAACTGGTCCTTATACATAAGTGACAACTTCATTTTTAACTTATGTAATATTCACTCTATTTTTGTTTCCTTTTAGTTTGAGAAATGTGTAATTCCGGTTTTAAATGTCCTTCAAACCAGTTCTCATCCATTATTAACCTCTTTTTTGCAGTTATCCTGGAGGTAGTAATGAAAACAGGACCATGTTTGAAACTAGTTGGTTCTGGATTTCAATTCTTGCTTTGCCATGTTAGCTGACAGCCAAGGTTATTCAGTTAAATCTCTTCGATTACAACATTTGAAAAATAAATAACAAAATCTCCTGGCAAATAATTTGTTCAGTTTAGGACTGAACACTTGCAACATCAAGAAACTCTCAACACCAATCACAATTTATTTCATCTGTTGATACCTTTGACAAGGACTTAGAAGTCATAGGATATAATAACAATCACATTTCATCCATGAGTCTCTTACATTTAGTATTAATTGTACCTTTTGTAGCTAGCCATGAATGCCAGAGACCTTCCATTTGACAGTACTTCAGATATTTGAGAGTAAATATTACTTTCCTCCAGTTTTAGGCTTTTCTTGGGGGTAAATTTTCAAATTTCCTTCATCTGTTCCTCTCTCAGCCTTGTTATGGGTGGCGCCTGTGGCTCAGAGGAGTAGGGCACCAGCCCCATGAGCTGTGGTCTTATTTGGGTAATCTTTAGAACTGAATTTGATGCCCTAGAGAAAGATTTGGGGAAAGTTATACTTCCAATAATTAAGGTTTTGTTGGTTTTCCTTTTGAAAATATTTTATAAGCACAATTAAAGAATAGCTATATTCGTTAGGAATTGCAAACTTTAGCTATTTACAATAGGCACCCAACTACATACACAGTGGCTTAACCAAATAAGATACATTTTTTCTTCAAACAAAAACTCCTGATCTAGGCAATTCCGTGCCTGATATGGGGGTTTCAAAAATTGTCAAGGAAAGTTCCTCTGACTTCCTCTGATCTTCCATACTTATCACATGGCTTTCATTCTCATGGTCTTAAATGGTTTCAATATCTACAGTCATCATATCCACATTCCAAAGGGAAAAATAAAAAGATCATTGAAAAGGTGAAATGAATGTGAAAGCTAAATTAGTTTCTTTTCAATCATGAAAATGGCCTTTTAGACTATATATTTGTGATATGTATATAATTATAGTTATTTTATAAACCTCATTGCAGTAAAATTGACATAAAATAAACTGCATATATTTAAAGTATATTTTTTTGTTTTACCATGTGTACACCCATGAAATATCAACCACAACCAAGATAACGAGTGCATCTATCACTCTCAAAATGTGATTGTGGGCTCGGTACCTATAGCTCAACCGGCTAAGGCACCAGCCACGTACACCTAAGGTGGCGGGTTCGAATCCCCAGCCCGGACCCGCCAAACAACAATGACGGCTGCAACCAAAACAATAGCCGGGCATTGTGGCGGGCACCTGTGGTCCCAGCTACTTGGGAGGTGGAGGCAGGAGACTCGCTTGAGCCCAGGAGTTGGAGGTTGCTGTGAGCTGTAATGCCACAGCACTCTACCCAGGGGGACAGCTTGAGGCTCTGTCTCAAAAAAAAAAAAAAAATGTGATTGTGCTCCTTTTTATTTTATTTAGTAGGCTATATTTTTGAGAAGTTTTAGCTATACAGAAAAAAAAAAATGAGCAGAAAAGTGCAGAGAGTTCCCATATACTTCCTCTCATCTGTCCCGAAGAGTTTCTCATTGACATTTTGTATTGTGATACATTTATTACAATGGATGAACCACTTTCAATACATTATTATCAACTAGAGTCCATGGATTACATTAAGGTTCTCTCTTTGGCCTGTACAATTCTGTTGGTGTAAACAAATGCACTCACTCTTTCACAAGGTGTCTGCTCCCTTTTTGACTGGGGTGTCTATTTTCTTATTGAGTTTTGGGAGTTATTGGTATGTTTTGGATACCATCCCTTTATTAGATATGTGTTCTGCAAACTTTGTCTCCCAGTCTGTGACACATCTTTTCATTCTTTTAACCATGTTCTCCCGGAACACGTTTTAAAATTTTAATGAGGATCAACTTATAAACCATTTCTCTCATGGATCATGCCTTTTAAAATATGTCTGAAAAGTTACTGCCAAACTCAAGGCCATGAAGATTCTCTACTGTATCATCTTGTAGAGATTTTACAGTTTTGTGTTATACGTTTAGGTCTGTGCTCCATTTTGAGATGCCTAGAATGAGCTTTCTCAGATGCTCAGAGAACGTAAGACTTGAGAAAGAGAAATCCTAGGTTGTATGTCCCTGCCATTTCCTTTATGTTTAGGAATGACTTTGACCTTTCTCCAAACTAATATCTTGGCTTTCTACAAATTTTTCCTGTTTTTAGTATTTGTTTTGAGACTCTTAGAGAATTGCTTCATATTGTATACATGTCTAGATATATTTGATAATAATGCTTTTCCTACCTGGCTTCTCTCTGAATATGACCTTACTTTAATTTAAAGAGGTATTTCTAGCTATTCAGAATTGTTTTTATAGTCCTTTTTAAAAGGGTGCTGCTGGAAAGCTTTTCTAAATAATATATACTGTGTTTCCCTGAAAATAAGACACTGTCTTCTATTTATTTTTTCTCAAGAAGACACACTAGGGCTTATTTTCAGGAAATGTCTTATCTCCGCGCCAAAATGCATGGCTTGGCTATGCAAATACACTGCATAGACACGCCCATCACTAGGTCTTATTATCAGGGTAGGGCTTATATTTAACAAATGCTAGAAATCCTGCTAGAGCTTATTTTTTGGGTAGGTCTTATTTTCGGGGAAACACGGTAGAATGTATAAGCTTCCTCACTTAAATTTTAATTGAATTTCTTTTTCTCTTTTGTGTTTTAATCTTGTCTAGTGGTCAGTTTGATAAAGTGGGTGTCCAGATGAAAGAAACCGTGTTCCAGGCCAAAATATGCGAATCTCTAACATCAAGTGACAGATCATGATTTGACTTCATCTGGAAAACAAATACAATACTCTGCCATTCCAGCAAAATAAACACACCACAAGCATTGAATATCCAAGATATAGGCTCTAAAATTTTGTTAAATATCATGTCTCCCTACCACTTTTTTCTGTGGTAAATTTAAGATTCACTGCTTTTCAACAAATAATAATGAATAGTGTAGGTAGGCTATTAAAATCTTATTCTCAAGTTTAAAATGGTTCACATGAATTCCTGACTCATGTAGATATTTATAATTATGCCTCAACAATAAAGTAAAAACCGATTTCCTCTGCTGTATATTTATAATGACTTGGTTTTAAACAAAATGTTTCAATTATTGAAATAGTTCCAGCAGAGAACATGAGGGGTTAATACTGTGTTATGTGTTGATAGTGTGATAATCGACACTGTAAATACAATTTCAATTTAAGGTAAAATTGGAATACTGAACTAAAATTTACTTTTCTGTATGAAAGAAATGATAATCATATCTATCTCTGAAATGCTGGCTTAATTACATGAATAGTTTCTAACAGACACATGGAATTATTGCAATTATTTTCTAAATTAAAGAATTATGGGCATAATGGAAGGGTACATGGCACCCTTCCTGGGTTTAGGACACTACCACAGGGTCTCTTCCTAACAAATGTGAACATTGTAATGTAATTGTTTGTACCTTCACATCAATCTGAAATTACAAAGTAAAAAAATAAAGAATTGTAATCTATTGATTTAACATAAATACTATGTATGGTGACTGACAGGTATTCTTGCAAATGTAATTTAAAATGTGCTACGAGGAGTTCTTCTACTGGATGTAGTGGAAGAGCCAGCATTATACTCTCAGAGTTAGCAACTAGAAAATAGGACAAAATATTAAAAATAATGGCTTTTCGGAAATTGAACAAAAGTCAATGACTCTTGAGATAACAAAAAAAAACAAGATGAGTCCTGTAATTATTAAGGGTGTGTGTAGGAGCACTACAGAACATGGTGCAGGGAAGGGGATCAGAAGTAGAGCACAGCAATTTTCCTGAGTTGAAAATGAGTTGATTAACAGGAATAAAAATTCAGGAAATATGGTATCTGGAAATTATAGGCAAGGGTTCCAGGTAAGGAACTATTCAAAGAACTTTGTATATCTGCATATTGGTTGCACTGAGTCTTTGCTGAATGGGAAACTGCATATCCACAGGGTGGAACTCAGCAAGGTCAAAACTTTTTACTCTGTTTGGCTTCTCCACAACGCCAGGTAGTGAGGGATCAGTCAGCTATAAACTGAACAATCCTCCATTTCACACTTGCAAAATAGGTAGGCGTTGACCAGGCACCATGGAAAGTCCTTGTTTATGAAACAAGGAAAGAGACACCAGAAGGGTCAGGTTAACAACGATAGAACCTAACAGTAATAGAACTAAATTATCTCTAGAACACAGTGTGACTGTAGGCCTGGCATAAGGATGCTTAAAAGTAAGTTTGAAATAATTGGAATTGCCTGCAAATAATTTCCCACCAGAACAAAGGCCAACGCTTTTAAGAAAGACTAAAAAATTCACATCCTTGACATGTATAATGTCTAGTCTCCAATAAGATGCAGGTGTGCTAAAAATAGGAAGGTACAGGGCAAAACTGGGGGCAAACCAAGGCAGTAGAAAGAGAGCAATTAGAAAAAGTAAGTGGAACATACAAATATGTGAACTGTGAATATTTTAAGAAAAACATGAACATAAGGAAAGAAATAAAATTAAAATGAAGTAAATGGAACTTTTAGAACTGAAAAATATCTGAAATTCAAAAATTCACTAAATGAGATTGATAGCCTATTAAATGCAAAAAAGGGAATCAACTTAAATTGAGGATATCATGGATATGTTCATAAAAAGAATCTGAACTGAAGCAAAAAGAAGGTTGGAAAAATAATTAGTGCCTCATGGATCCCTGAGACCATATCAAGTGGTCTAACATTTGAATAATTGTGCTAGGATGGAGGAAAATGGGAATGAAGAAAAAAA